GATCATAAAGGAAGTGGGAATGACATACACCTATTGTTGACAAATCGTTTTTTGTTTGAGCTTTTTGAAAAATCTCTGGATTGATCTCCCAAGCTCCAATTAGTTGGGAAAGTGGCCTCTGTCTTTCCGAATGGCTTGAGCAGCATTGAATGGAACTATTATTAATGTCCAAAATTGGACATTCTGATAAAGATTCACTAGCGTTTGTTGTGTCCATAACAAAATATTCATTTCCATCAGTTGATCCCAATGTAGTCGACTCTGAATCAAATATTGAAATTGTTGATGTATTAACTTCTACTTCGGTATCAATATCATTGATATCTTTTAATAAAAATATATCATTATTTTCGTCCTCTTCTATACGTGATCTTGCTCTTTCAAAATTGGCATTATTAAAAAGAAAGGGCATTTCTATATCATAATTTAATGCACTATTATCGCTTCCAATGCTCCCTACAACACTCTCTGACGTAAGACTTTCAGCAAAGGCTATACTCTCCAAATCATTATAATCGTTAGGAACGTAATCGAAATTATCAAAAATGTCCTGCAAGTTTGTATCAGACATAACAAAAAGGCGAATTTTATACGATGAGATGAGTAAATATCAATTAAAAAAAATGGCAATGGTATAAAACTAAAAAAATTACTACTCTAAAGAATAAATAAAACTAAATTTCTAACTGACGAGTAAATTAAGTTTAATTATCATTGTCGGAAAAAAAATTCAAGAAAAAAAATAAAAGGTAATTTTTTTCAAAAGCTAAGCGGCTTTAATTTAACATTTAAGATTCTTTAAAAAATTATAAGGCCTTTATATAATGATAACGATAAGAGAAAATCTGATTAATATTTTTTTTTATAGACGACGTCTTAAAAAGAGTACAAATATATCAATATCGATATATAAAATAAAAATACATATAAAGAAACCATCTATCTTAAATTAGTAATTCTATGACCATATCCCGTCTGATTGTTTAATTTATGCTTTTCAATAGAAGTAATAGTTATTATTTTGAGTGACAAATTTGTCGATTTTTAATTAATGCATTCTGTCATACATTCTTAAATATCATATTGCATATGAAAATATTATAAGGCGTAAAATCCAATATCTCTTTAACGTTAACATGTGAGTATATTAAAAAAAAATGCATATCATAATTAGTAATGATAAGTTTATCATTTTAAAGTTAGTTAAAGTTAATTAGTCCGAAGTATAATGACAGAAGTCTGTCCGGTATGTGATGATATTTTGCACTTTGGACTTTGAAATTTTTTTTAAAATGTTAACGATAATATCAATATCGATAACATTTTTAGCAATTCCTTTAAATTAAATTAAAAGTTCTTGAAATTAGATTTATATGTAAATTTATCGGCGCTACAACTTTACTTAAAGGCAAAATATAGGTTATAAATACCGATTTTGAGTTTTCATATAAAGAAATTGTTAAAAATATCAAAATAGAACACGAAAGCTAATCATAAACCTTATCCGTCAGGTATATAACTCTAAAATTTACTAATTATATGTAATTTTATCTGCGCTACAACTTTACTTATAAATAAAAGGTAGATTAGAAATGCCGATTT